TGGTATGCAATACATTGCTGGAGCTTGTTGCATTCGTTGATCTCTTCTCCCGCGATAGCCCGATTACACTGACAAGGTCGATGATCCTATTGCTACGGCCCTTCGCCACGCACAAGCAGAACTCCGCGTGGTCTCAGCAACAAACCGGGCACGAAGATTACGTTTAGCTGCCATTGCCAGAGATCGATTGGCGTATCAGGAATACCTCGACTTGCGAGACTCAATTGATAAGAATATCAATCTATGTTACGCCAAGTTACAGAAACGGGATTCTGGGACTACGAAGAACAAGAAGAAGAGTAAAAAGGATAAGGATAAAGAGAGGGGAGATTCGGTTGCGTTGAATGGTGTATCGGCAAGTACATCGGGGACACCTGCCCCTGGTGCAAATGGCGATCCAGATTCGCAACCGCCTCCGTGTCCCGCTGCTCTCGGGCTGGGACCTGACCCAGATACCAATGAGCTAATGGTCACAGAGCAGCTTAAGCAGCTTGTGGAGACACGACGGCAATGGGTTGATACCGTGGGCGGTGTGTTTGACGCGAAAGAGAGAGAAAATCCTGGACGGATTTGGGGCATTCCACAAAAGAGTATCTACGAAGGTCTAGAGGATGAGGTTGAAGAGATTTTGAAGGAAAGGATGGGTTTAATATCATCCAGCGGCAAAGAGGCCGATGGGGTGAACGGGCATGTCAACGGAGTCGCTCAGATGGAAGGAATCATTGAAGGCGGTCCATCTAAACAACATCGGACGTTCGGCTCAAAAGGTAAGGGTAGGTTACCCAGGAGCGATGACATGGACATTGGGTAACATTATTATCTTGTCGCATGCAGTCCTTTCATTATTTCTAGCTTTCGCTTGTCGCTTTTGCTATTCTCTGGTGTAATTCTCCCGACATGGATTTTTGCTTCTTCCACTTGATCAGCTATCCCCATTGCATTTTTAAGCCTTGTCGTTTTACTAGTAGCATGATATGTAACTTATACCTCTGCGAAGTAGTATGGATTTCACACCTGTACACAAAGGCACGTGAAAAGATTGTCGCTTTCACCGCTACCACCATCAGCTGCCCCAACGTCTGCTCTTCAGCCGGCCCGTGCATCACTGCAACTAGTTTTCGAACTGTCAGAACACCCAGGATTGCCCGTAAACGCGGAAAAATGTGGATACTTGAAACTTCCAGACACGAAATCATGCAATGGCAACCGGAAAATTGTAGAGGAGGTTGGTAAGATACTCGAGGTCACAGAGCCGTACGTACGCACTCACCTCTCCAGTCTCAATATCAATTGCCCATCTTCAAGAGACGTGTGGCCTGGGTAGCTGGATACAATGCAGCGAACTTGTCGGGGAGCACGAAACTGGTATTACATCGCTAAGGAACTGTGAAGACTCAACTTGAGCTCAGGGGGGTTTTGCATTAACAGCTACCCTCGACTACCACCCAAACCATTTTCAGATTTTGTTTCGTCATTGATCCGAACGCAGTTGTATAAAAGAAAGGCAGGTTCACGCGTTCACACCCCCATATCCCAACATGCTCGTGTCATTCTCCCTTTTATTGGTGTTCGTGCAAGCCGTGTTCGCTGCCTCTCGCACTGAACCTCCCTCTGGGTCTTTGGTCGTTCGTGCAGGAACAAGTAACTCAGGGGAGTATAGTTCTGTCCAGGCAGCTGTAGATGCTCTGCCCAACGACGGTTCTGAACAGTCTATCTTCATATACCCTGGAACATATACCGAGCAAGTTTATATCGATCGCAGTGGTCCCGTTACGGTGAGAACTAAATTCCCAGACATTGAGTATTACAAACTAAATATAACTCCAGATCTACGGTTACACCGAAGATACATCTTCATACGAAGGAAATCAAGCAACCATTGCTTATAACCTAGGCGTTGATGATGCTGGTTCAAACGATGCGTCTGGAACTCTTCGGGTCCACAAAGACGATTTCAGCATGTACAACGTGGATGTGAAGAACACTCGTGGAGCGGGCATCCAGGCTGGCGCACTTAGCGAATATGGTAGTCGTGCTGGGTTCTACGGTTGTGGATTCTATGGATATCAAGACACGCTCTATGCCAACGTCGGAACCCAAGTTTATCTTAAGGGCTACATCGAGGTGAGCATGGGGTTCAGTAATACACATCGATTTCGGCTCATATGGCTACCTTCAGGGCAAGACAGATTTCATCTACGGCCGACGAGGCAGCGCGTACTTTGGCGGAAATACGATCGCTGTTTCTGGTCCAGGCTACGTCACTGCGTCTGGCCGTCAGTCCGATGATTCAGGAAGCTGTAAGTCTTGTGAAAGCGAGAAGGTTCACTTATGAATTTGTATGACACACACAGACGTCTTTGAGGGCAACACGATTATCCAAGCTTCAAATGCAGAATCTGGGACCAGCGGAGGCTACTACTTTGGCAGGCCTTGGGATGGTACGTGTTTCATCCTTGTCAGCTATAGTCTACCGCTAAAATTGCTCTTTTGACACTCGTAGTCTATGCCAAGTAAGTTCTATTTTGACTATTATCATCCAATTTTTGACTCCGCGCACTCTAGGGTCATCTTCAAAAGCACCGAGCTCCAGGTTGCACCTCAGCCTGCCCTTTGGAGTCTATGGAATGGGGACTCTAGCAGCGTTTCCAATGCCTTCCTTGCTGACTATCAGACATCAGGCACTGGGGCAAGCAGCCTCTCTCGCGCTAGCTTTGCAAAGCAGCTCAGCGACAGCGAGGCAAGTAGCTACTCGATATCGAGTGCTGTTGGTTCGGATTACGCGAATTGGGTGGATACTTCATACCTTTGACGAATAGTATTACCGTGATATCTTGCGTTGTTGTTGTGTAGTACTTGATATAATCGACCGATTTGTTCTGTGTCCCACCAAAACTACTTGCGCATTCGTTTCATCCCGGTGCCTACACGAGAGCCGAAGAAATGCACAATATTTGTTTTCGTATCCAAAAGTGGCGATACGGTATACACTTTAAACAAGGTATGATGTATCAACCCAGTTACCGTAGTCACTACCTACAGCACTCGAGATCGAGTAGCTGTTCGACTCGCTATCGCTCAACTGTCTGGCAAAGCTAGCACGAGACAATCCACTCGCGCCGGATCCGGTTGTCTTGTAATCGGCAAGGAGTGCGTGCGAGACACTGTTGGAGTCTCCATTCCAGAGAGTCCAGAGAGCCTTGTTGGGAGAGACGTTAAGAACAGTGTTCTTGAAAATAACTCTGGTTAAGGGAGTAAGTCATGTGCTGATATTGCTTATGCTAATGGAGCTTACTTGGCGTAAACTAAGTGAAAGGATTTAGAGTCAACATCCGAAAAGAAGCAGGGAAGACATAGCACATACCATCCCATGGTCGACCGAGGTAGTACCCACCGCTAGTACCTGATTCTGCACCTGATGCTTGAACGACCGTGTTTTGGTTAAAGACATCTGAAAAGAAGCGCTTGAGCAAGGGTATTTCAAATTCCAACAAGGTACGTACAGCTTCCACTGTCGTCAGACTGTCTTCCAGAAGCAGTGATATAGCCTGGACCAGAGACGGCGATTGTGTTTCCTCCGAAGTATGCGCGGCCTTGTCGCCCATAGATGAAGTCGGTCTTGCCCTATGACAGTATGGATAAGTCTGCTGAAGTTGCGGAGTAGCAGCGACTTCGTACCTGGATGTAACCTTTGAGGTATACCTGAGTTCCCTGGTTGGCGTAGACAGTGTCTTGGTAGCCGTAGAATGCACATGCGTAGAATCCGACACGGTTGCCGTACTGGCTAACAGCACCGGCTTGGGTGCCAGCTCCTCTCGTGTTCTTCAAGTTCACGTTGTACAGTTTGAAGTCATCCTTGTGAACTCGAAGCGTGCCAGTTTCGTCATTCGATGCAGAATTATCGCGTCCCTTGTTGAATTGGATAGTGACTTGGTTTTTGGTATACGTGGACGTGTCATCAGTGTACCCGTAGATCTGTAGATTATGGTAAAAGACATGTTCAGGAAGAATGTTGTGAGATACGTTACAGTCAGAGGGCCTGATCTTGTGATGTACACCTGCTCGGTGTATGTACCTGGGTAGATGAAGATGGACTTGGAAGAACCGTCGTTTGGCAGTGCGTTCACCGCAGCTTGAACTGTCTTGTACTCTCCTGAGTTGGAAGTTCCAGCACGGACAACCAAGGCTCCAGATGGAGGTGAGGTGCGTGATGCTGCGAGCACAGCTTGCACAAACGCGAAAATGACCGACAGAGAGACGAAAAGCATCGTAGTCTGAGTTTGGTACGACGTGTAACCTATACAGCACCTGTTTTTATGAGACTTTCGGATCATTAACGGTGAAGAGAGGGCGCATTATTTGATGAAAAAAGGTGCTGAATGTTCAGGTGAGGAATCAGGTTGCTCTTCCGTTCGTCGCCGGCCCGCTCGAAGAAAGCCAACTGGCCGCCTGAAAAGGCTCTTGACGGAAAAAATACGGTCCTATTAGAGCATTTTTGGTGTTAATCGCGTAGGTTGAATGGCTTATCCATGGTAACGAGTTCAGGTACTGTAATGGCGCGACGGTAAACGGAGTGAGCACATCGAGGTTTAAAATTATTCCACATGGAAGTTCAGACACTCACCAGGTCACCTCATCCTATATATTGAAGACTTCCGCTCTCTCGCACATGTAGCGCCGTTCACTTTTCCGAGAAATATCAAGAGATTTGCAGGTTCCACTGTGTCATTTAGACTAACAGAGGTCATGGAGGTGTGGAGAAGAGTTGCAAGGGAACTCAGATCTGGGCGTCAAAGACTTAGGCCGCCGAACAATACCTTGGGCCGAGGCCTACGGGTCATCCTTGGCAGTGGGTGTTATGCATGACACTCTGGTAAGCCATTCTCAGTAGCCACTAGCTATACTCACGAGAAAAAAAAAGGAAAGAGACTCAAGATTTGGCTAAATCTGAAGCCAAATGGCACAATGTAGATAGGTTGGTGTTGGTAGCATTTCTTAGATCCGTTATGGTGTAGTGGCTAACATTATCGCCTCTCAACATCTGGTGCGCGATAGCCCAGGGTTCGATTCCCTGTAACGGAAGTTTTTTTTTTCTTCAGCCAACTCTTAATGAACATTCCACTTTTACGGTCGCTATGACTTGATCGTAACATCCAGAAAGTGATATTACAGTCTCAAGGGTTCCCTTGGTAAGTGTCCGTGAGAGGAAGGTATAACGAGACTAGCATTGCAAATCGACAATCCAAAGCACTTATAAAAATACACGTCAAATGATCCCAGATACAAAGCATAGATACATATAGATCCTTCTACAGGTTACTGCCCAAACTCGCCGGGTGCTAGCTGTGTGATACCTTCTGCACAATCAAGCCACTCGAACCACTCACTCGCATGAAAGACTGCACGGCGGCGTGGCCATTGCTCCAATTCCACTGTTGATGACACAGGTGGATGCGGATTTCGCGAAGGTTGGGGTGCCACCGTAGAAGTCATAAGTGAAACAGACACCCGGACGTCTGATGACGATTTTCTCGAAGGTAGAATTGGCCGAGACCCTGCAGGGGCAACCAGTGTGGAGGCCGCCGCCGCCGCCGACAACGGAGAGGGATGGTATGTCGTTGAGGTGTGTGAGTAACCCGGTGTATGTGTATGTGATAGGCTCCTGGATGGTAAGATAGGACGCGTCGTAGGAGCACTAGAGGTAGCTGCCTGTTGTGCCGCGCTTCCCGGTATTGCTGAAGAGTTTGGTGCTGATAGAGATCGCATGATTGGGGAACTCTCCAAGACATCCCTTTGACCACCGAGATTGCTCTTCACAGTCCAATAAGTGTTTTCCAACCTCAGGAGCTTGACCATTGGGAAACCTTGCTCAACGATTTGAGCAGGGGACCGTAATGGAAAGTCCATCAAGCCGATATATATCAGAGTCGAGGGCATTCCAGTTCGTAATTGCTGAACCATCAGGTCAGAATTCGACAGAGCGCACAGTAAAGAAGATCATACTCACATTCAAGAATGCCAGCGGCTCCCTATCTGCTACCATGTTCCCACCAATCGCATCGAACACAAGCGCTTTCACACTCCTAGGAACAAGCCAGCACCCCAAACCGGGCGCCAAATCCCTGGGCCACGAAATGGTCAAGGCTTTCAATTCTGTCAGCGTAGGCAATACGCCCCATACGCCCGAATCAAACCCAGTCAGTCGTTGTATAGTTTCAGTTCCTGAATTCGCTCCGCCTGTCGTACATGGCGCAGTCAGAGTCAGAGTCCTTAGTTCACGGCGATTACGGAGGAACTCGGCGATGGAAGGGAAGAGATCTCGGTCGTTTAGACGACGAGAAACGCCTCCGCCGATTGTAAGTGCGAAATGCCGGAGGAACGGTAGTGCGGTTGGCATTGCACGGAAGTGTGTTGAAAGTGCGCAATCGACGAGAATTGTGAGGGAGAGACTCTCAATCTGCCTTCCGTGCGTGAGTATGTCGGGTAGAAGGTTGGGAACATTGGCGGGTACACAGCCGGTGAAAGATAGGTGGGTCAAATTCCGCAAGGCGAGAGCATCGGTAGGTGGGAAGCCACTAGAAGGTGTCTGCAATGACAATTTCCTGAGGTGAATGTTATTTTGAGAGATGAAGAGCGTTGTCGACGGCGCAGCCGTTGCGGGTGTTGCTGCGCCAGTTCCCGTTGAGGGGTTTGTCGGCGGAGCTGAACTCGCGGGAGAAGCATAGTTGGTCTCGTAAGAAAAGTGAGCTAAACGTGAGAAGTTGAGGGAAGAAAGGTCTAGAGCCCCATCTAGAACTTTGAGGGAGAACCCGCGTAGTTTATGATGTGTAAACTCGAGGATGCGGATGAGGGAGAGTGCGCCCTCAATGGGCGCTGTGATATGAACGTTTTGGAGATTGATGAGTTTTGGGAGAGCATTTGACAAGACACCTAATATACCGGATCGTTAAATAAAGATGCAGGATGATATATTTAAACTACTCACCAATCTGGAACCCGATTGCCGCATCTCCGTCCATTCTGAACGAAAACACTCTCAAAGTCCGCACCATAGACGCAAAAACGGAATCAGTGATAATCCTCGCAAGGATATCAGCACTCCGCTGAGCGTGTCTTTCTCTGTCCAAGTCCCTTCCTGCCCATGAGTCTTCCTCTTCGTCGAGTGATAACGCGGAAAAGTGAAGATCCAACTGTCGAAATAACAGCTGACTGGCAACGCGGGACACCGGGTTTGGCACGAGGAGCAATGTTTTTAAATCCCTACGTGGGAGGAAAGTGGCGATCTCCCGCCATATCTCTGGAGAGAAACGACTTCTTGGAATGATGGGTGGTTGCGGGGCAAGAAGCTTGAGACGACACGCAACGAGTGTGTGATAAGTAACACGGTCATGATATAGCTTTTCCTAGGCAACGCACCTTTTCAACATTGACAGAACGTTGATGTAGAAGCGCCTGTGCTTCTGGGTTGTCTGGGTCAGCGACCAGTGCTGCATGAAGGTCTATTCTCATTGTTCGTTGAGTTGGAAGGCGACGAGGATGGTGGTGGGAAGCAAATACCTTCCTGTGCACCAAATAGAGAACCGGCGCTGAGTCTAGCCCTTGCTCGCAGTATACGAGCTTTTGCAGTGTTTTCCGGTGACAGCGTGGTCATTTGGAGGATAGACTGGATGGCGTTCTCGAATACAATTCTAGAGCGTCTACAAATAAACTGGTCAGTACACACGAGTCCTTCTCCGGCAGCGGCAGGGAAAATGGATGGTAAAAAATTTGTAGTAAAAAAGTCTAGAGCGCGGACCTACCCTTCGTATGACAGGGTTTTCATGGCGTAGAGAAGGAGATCTGCTTTTTGATTGTCTGAAAGACATAAGGCCACGTCGCGGAGACTTGCATCGACGATGTTGGGGTTGAAGACGTTCATCGTGGTGGTCTCGGAAGGAAACGGTTCGTCGTCGCACCAGCGGAAGCCATTTATTAGCTTTGCTGCCAACCGGTGCAGGGTCTAGCCTTGAGGTGAGAGATCGATGCCAGAGTATACCCGCCGGCAAACAATACGGCACCAGGTACTCCTGGATAAGATAAGATCGCTTGTTTCCATCATTTCCTGCGCCCATTGCAGTGCATTGCCTGGACAACTCAAAACGTAGCCGACGCCGTACCGTCTCAGTTCAATTCTTCAAGCTTTCACTAAGAAATCGTTTAACTGGAGAACGAAAGAGCTTTCACTCGAAATCCAAACACGTAATTCGACGTCTCACCGTCTTATCTTACATCCATATATGAATGTCTTCGCGTTACTACTACCCCTCAGCCCTGTCATGATGTTAACCTAGAATTTCGTTAGCCACATACTTGACGTCAGGAACTGGGCCATACATTCAAGATATTGGTTGCACCCACGAAGACCCGTTTCCCCAAAAGGACGAGAATTGTACGAGGTCGTACGAGAGAACCCTCAAGGTCACAAGAAACCTCCGATGCTCGGGAGGTAACACTATCCAAAGAGGCCACAAGCTTTATATTCGACGGTATTGGACTCCTACAGAAGCGCGGTATTAACAAATAGTAAATATGGATGCACCCCATTTTGTAGGAACGTGGTGTGGTACATACCACACATGTCACCTAATACGGCCGACGTTGTCAATGTTTTGAATTGGGGAAAACCCCGCACGAATGGGAGTTGATGTAACTTGACGCCAGTCCACCTATGATGGGTTGCCGTGTCCTATAGATATAATGTCGTCTGAGTGAGAAAATTGGGTGTGATAGAAATATAGAAGACGGAGATAGTCGAAGGACGGCGATATTAGTCGTATGGTCTAAAGCTTCTCGACATGACCGTCATCCAACATTCATACTCGATTCTGTGACTATTCCCAGCGGAATAAAGAGTAACCGCTCTACCTCGTAGCGGAAACTCCTTGGCTTCTATTCAACGTGAGTGAATTGCCTTGCTTGCCAGTCACAGGTGAGCTGATGAGACTGATGACCATGTCAAAACCGAGTTCGCGTGCCAGTTCCTGGAGCCTGAGTTGCGAAGACCGAGTTTAGCAAATGAGGACGGCTGTATTTTAGGGTGGTACCTGAAGAATACAGTAGCGTTAGACATCTCAGAAGGTCCGCAAAGTACGCATCTGCCAAGTCGTGGTCGTGTCGATAAATAGCAAGTAGATGTACCCAGGGCTAGAGGTAGCGTAAACGCTATGGCATCGATAACCTGAGATAGAAATTCGGAAGCGTTGATTAATTTCAACGGTAAAGATGTTTCCATACCGTATCTTGCAAACCCATGTGAATTTGTAGGTCTAGAAGTGAGCCTTGGGAGAGTAGCTAGCCCAAGTATAATAATGAAGTCATAATCTGGAGAAGAGCTCAGTCGTTTACAGACCTCGACCGAAAACATAGGCAAGTCAGATGACCGTGATGGTGCACTGTAGCAGGATATAGAGCGCTAGAACCATTGTGGTGCTTGATGAACGATGACCTATCATTCCATTCTCAGAGCTGATGTTTCGAAGTAGATACAGCAACCTTTGAAGCTTGTTCCCTAGAGAACGCGGAACACCACAGAGGCTTTGATGATGGGAGTACGAGGCAGAGAAGTTTAGCGCTCAAAAACCTATGACGCCGGCTTAGTCATCTCGAAATATCATTTTGCACAGGGTTGGGCTGCGCTGTACCTCCTCTCATTTCCTACTATCACCATGTCGCAATGGGGCCAGCAGCCAGGATTCCAGTATCCTATGCAGACTGGATTTCCTGCTGGTAACCCCCAATTCCAACAAAATCCTCAGTTTCAACAGCAAAATCCCCAGTTTCAACAGGGTACACAATTCCAGCAGGGATTTAACCCCGGGGCAGGTGGTTTGCTTCCCCAAAGGACCGGATTTCCAGGGCAGGGTCCTCAGAGTTTTCAGCAGCCTCAGCAGACTGGTTTCCAACAGCCTCAACAAACTGGATTTCCGGGATCTGGGTTCTTGCAGTCACAGCCAACAGGCTTTCCGGGTGCTGGCGGGATGATGCAGTCGCAGCTTGGACATCGACCAGCCCCAGTGCCACCTCCGGTACCCCCTATTCCAGGC